TCCCGACCAAGCTGACTTGAGAAACCATCGCTCAGTGGAGGCCCTCTTGGGAGTAGTTTTTTTGAACGAGTATTCGTGAAAACATTACTACTTTCAACCTAGGAGCCTGTGACACTGAGGACCTTTAGTTACCTTTTACCCTCACTTGACCTTTTAGGACGTAGTGCGATGACTATGAGGGAGTATTCCCGAATTAGTTGATACGCAATACTACACTTGGACGAGGCTCTCTTGAGAATATTATCGACCACCGAGTGACTTGGGAAATTGATAATATCCGAAAGATGGGTTGTTGACTCTGAGAACCTCTTAGAACCTTGTTCTGCAGATTTGAGAACCCCTAGTACACACCCTGTGGTTGGTTCTCTACCTAGACTCTATGCTGTGATCTTGAATCTGTGATCCTGTTGTGTGTGTTTTGCATCTTCTCTTGCATTGCATTTGCATCTTTGCATGGTTCATTGCATACCTCTCTTTGTCCAGTAGCTCATATTCAGCTGTCTTCATCTTCCAGTGTGCCTTTGAGTCGTCAAGCTGATTCCTCGACACCGATATCGGACTAGAGTTAACTATAGAAGAAGGATGTCAGAGCAAGAAGTACACAACGCATAAATCCGAATGGAGATCGATGAGTTAAAATCAGGCATGACTAAGCTCACCGAAATGCTTCAAGTCTTGATAGCCAGAGGAGACTCTCAAAGGACCGTCATTCAGGAAGTTTCAAGTGCTGATCCTCCTCCTGTTCAAATGCCACCATCTACTTGGCCAGAGTTTGGTTTACCTCCTAACTACTCTCCACCTTTTGCTTCTACCGCTATGATTGGTCACTCTGTCAGACCATTTTTTCAATCTCCCGTCTTTGCTGAGCCCAGACCTGTGGTTCACACTGTTAACCAGACTGTCCGAACTCCCTTTGAGAATCCTCTCTATGATTACAATTCTGCTAGTGCTCAAGGGGAAGACCATGAAGATTTTGTTGAGCCTGAGATTGTCTGTGAACAGTTTCGAAACATAGACAAGAGACTCAAAGCCATTGAGGGTACTGACTTCTTCAACGTCGATGCAGACAATATGTGCCTAGTTTTTGGTCTTGTTATGCCTACAAAGTTCAAGACTGCCGAGTTTGTGAAGTATAAGGGTCACGCATGTCCAAGAGCCCATCTTGTTATGTATTTCCGAAAGATGGCAGCTTACACCAACAATCAGAAGCTGCTCATCCATTGCTTTCATGACAACTTTAGTGGTGCTTCTCTCAAGTGGTATATGAACTTAGAGCATAACAGCGTCCACTGCTTCCAGGATCTTGCCAACGCTTTTATGAGGCAATACAAATACAATCTGGACATGGCTCCTGACCGCCATCAACTTCAAAATATGTCTCAAAATGAGAGAGAGTCATTCAAGAAATACACTCAGCGTTGGAGAGAGTTAGCTTCCCAAGTTGAACCCCTTCTAGCAGAGAAGGAGCTAACTGGAATGTTCATGGATACTTTGTCTCCTTTCTATTGGGAAAAGATGATTGGGAGTGTTTCTTCGAGCTTTATAGATTTGGTGACCATTGGCCAAAGGTTAGAAGAAGGGCTGAAAAATGGCAAGGTATCCAAAGTTGCTGAATCTTCTAATGGTGCGAAGAAATCCTTTGGGACCTTCCATAAGAAAAAAGAGGATCAGACGGATGTTGTCATAATTGAAGTGAAAAGGCCTCGCTTTAGACCTCAGTTCGTTGATCATCATGTTGTTGCTGTTGTTGCTACTCTACGACCAACTCAGGTTCCTCAACGTCCAGCTGTTGGACAAAACCAATATCAGAATAGGAATCATTTTGATCCTATTCCCATGACGTACACAGAACTGTATCCTGACCTGGTTCGATAAGGGTTGATTACTACAAAGGCTCTGCAACCTCCTAATCCTCCTCCAGCTGGATTTAGAGCTGATCTCCATTGTGCTTTTCATGAGGGTGCCTCAGGCCACGACTTGGAACATTGTTATGCACTGAAAGCCAGAGTGCGTGAGTTGATTAGAATTGGAATCCTTGATTTTATGGATAGTCCTCCGAATGTTCAGAAAAATCCCTTGCCAGTGCATCAAAAGTGAAGCTTTAGTCGACTTCTGAAGATTATCTTCCTAAACGCCAGTGTTTCAGACAGGACAACTCATCTTTGTACTGATTTAATCACTAGGCCTTTTGTTTCTCGTTGTTGGTATTTTCCTTCATATTGTTTAAGCTGTTTGCTTTTAATTAGTGTTTGTACTTTCATATCAATGAAATGAGCATTGCGACTTTTTGATTTCAATTCATTTTGTCTATTATTTGCACTTTTATACTTTATCTTTCAAATATTTATTTATTGTCCAAATTTTTGATTAGGCAATTATTTGAGGGAGGATGATGAAAACACTATACCCATAACTGCTGTTGGTATGCTTTCAATAAAGTTTTCTGACGATGTAAGGCATTGTTTCAACTCACAAACACTGGAGAAATAAGGAAGTTATTCCCTCGTCAACCTCTTTGAGCCTAGAAGTTGGAGTTTCTTTCTTTACAAAAAACCCGCAATCTTAACCTTGGGGCAGGGTAGTTTCTCAGTTAACTTGGTTGTGCTTTCCTGAATACACCTTTCATATAAAGATTGCATTCACGAGTGTTCCTTCGCACACAGCAACCAAGTGTCAAAGATGTTTTTCAGAGTCTGGAAGCCGATGATGGTTCACCGTGATCATTAAGCAAGGCAGTCACTTTCTTTCAAAAACAAAAAAAGGCGAAACCCGCTAAGTCAAAACCTATGAAGGAGACTTAGGCAAAACTGGGGCATCCCGCTGACTGTAAGCTTTAAAAGAAACAGTTCAGGCAAAAGTTAGGGATAATAAAAGGAGGAGATCTTTAAGTCTTCATCTTGAAAATCCTCAATGTCAAAACAACCAAATGTTGTAAAGAAGCAGTGATTGCCTTTTCAAGAAGTCCTTGGGCTTCTGAACCATCATCATGGCTATAATCAGTGCAATTCCTATATGAACCTGAGTTTATACTCTGAGCTAGCTGAGCGTAGAGCTGAAGATCATCATGTAGATTGGGTGGGCACAAATAAACTTTGAGCTTTTATCCTTTGTTTCTTAAACCGTGAGCCATGCCACGTTACAACCCTCAAAAGACCTAACTAAAGCAAGGTTATTTTGAAAGCATACTACAACAAGGTTGCATAAACTGACTCCAAAAGATCTTTGCAAATCAATTATTTTGGCAGTACACCTGTGCTTTTCACTTTTAAGTTTCTTGAACCACCATGTTCTGAATAATGACTCATTTATGTTGCATCTTTCAAAAAATAATGTTGATTTCAAAAGTTGCATGAACTTTGCATTACCATGTTTGTATGAATACTTTTGTTTGCAAACTGGCTTTCCTCTCAAGGAATGTTCAAACATTGAGGAACGTGGTCAGTGATTCTATCAGGGGCAAGTTCTTTTCACATCCTGTCAAAGAATCAGTTCAATATTTGTTCAGATCAAGGTGTTCTCAGATTTGGTTTATCCAGAAGATATTTCAAGACTTAGACTAGGGCAAGCTTTTCAAGCACACAGTGGATCAGTCATTTTCAACATCAGACAAGCTGAAGCAATTATCAGTTCGTCTACAACAGACAGTTTAATCTGGGGCAGTTTACTTGACGGATCCTCAAGCAGCTCTCCATCCTTCCTACAAGGACCATCAACCTAATATAGTTTACCAGTGTGGCAGAGATGTGCTCAGCAGTAACATCTTTGCTCCCCAAACAGAAATAACTGTCATACCCCAAATTTTACCCTCATATTTTTTTGATCTTTTTCATATCATTTAGGTCAATCACCATATTGCATAACTAACCAGTTTATCAGCTTTTGTTTGTCTTGTTCCATTTATGAATCAGGGTTGGACTTCAGAAGTTTCCAAGGTGGTCAAATTAAGGTTTTAGATAGGAGATTATCTGATGAGGTCCTATCAGAGGTTTATCAAGTTCATTGTTTCAGTGTATGCTCAAGACAGGAAGGGTTAGGGTTTCTCACCCTTTATGTTTATGATTGACAAGTATTATTCAGTTGAGCTTTCACCTGGGGCTAGTAGGTTAAGTATGCGTGAGCAATATTGTTTCGGTTGAATATGACATGATCTTGATAAAAGAAAGAGGAGATTCTCAAGTTGAATTTTTCATGGATCGATGTTTTATGTCTGAAGATTATCACAACAAAGTTTCGTGCAAGTCTAAGTCATCTAACGAAGTCGAGATTGTGAATCTGTTAAAAAGTCAAGGCATTTGTTCTTTTGTTCAGGAAGTGACATAAGTGAAAGGTTGTGGTACATATGATTCAAATGGCCAAGTGCGAGATTAATTCAAGACTGTTTCGTTGATTTAGAATGCTAATTCATTCTAAGTATGAGGTTTATGCATGGTTGATTTTATTTCTCAAGAAGAGTTTTAGTTGTTTCAAGCGAGAATGTAAGATATTCAAGAATTCGTTGCAAGTGTGAGTTTCACATGGAGAGTTCAAGTTTTAATAGTCATCATTTTATTATTAAGAATTACAAATGCAAATTCAATTCATGACATAAAAGACCAATATCAATTGACAATAACTAAGCCCATTACCAAGTTTCAAAAGTTTGGTTCATGAAATATCACAATATCAAAAATTGCCAAAAGGTAATACAAGCCCATGATCCACATTATTACAACAAGAAATTCAAGCCACATTAGCCCTTTCTTCATCTACTCTCCCCGACTGTACCGTCCTTGTAGCTGTACCAAAGCACCAAAAATCCAGTACAGATAAAAGTGGTGCTACTTAAAGAAGTCCAAGACCATTGCATGTTTATGTTGTCTTACAAAGCCAAAATAACAGTAAAGAGAAAAGGTACAGGTGCTGAAAATTACACATGGGCTACATCACAATTTTGACCACCATTTGCCACTTGATTCATACAAACCCTGTCTCTGTACTTCTGCTAAAAGACTGTGCCACTGCTACATCACCAAAGTGTACAACCAAGCACTTTTCACAGCAGCCTGCTCCAATCCTGCCACTTTTTTCCTGCTACACTCCAAAACCTTCGCGCAAGGACCCACTAGCCTGTACCATAATCCTGCTGTTGTATACCTTTTTCTGCTTATACCAAAACAACATTCAATTTTTGCTGCTGCACAAAGTCCACAAGACTTGGGACATCACCCTCATAAAAAAGTGATCACTGGACCAAAGCCAAACCAAAACGTGATACACATCCACACTACAAATCATTTTTCTGCTACAAAATAGATAAGACATACATGAACATTGAGAGTAAATACACAAACCATACGACATCCAGATTGCTAGCCTCCAAAATTATGAGTTGAATTGAAAAGGACTCAACATAGGACCTTGACCAAAACCTTGTACAAGTCAGACCTTCTGCACAATTCACAGACCATGATAAAAACAATCAAGAGAGTCCAAAAGTCCTGCAATTTTGAAGAAAAAAAAAGAACCAAAACATGCTTAGACCTGCATCAACCTGCTGACCCCTGTATCCTGCTACAAACCTCATGCCTACCACAGATCCGCACCTTGGCATCAAACATAAGTCCACAACAAAACCAATTTCTCTTTGACAAAATCCTGTTACAAGAAACGAGACAACAACTCACTCCAACCGAGATTTCTGTCATAAGCCTGCATCATGAATAATCTGCAAAAAAACACCAAAGATCCATCATAGAAAAGGCCAAAATCTGTATCACTGCAAAGGGGGGCAACATCCTACAAATCCAGATGAGAATTAAACTGCAAGAAAAAGAAAAAGAGGGAAAAAGGATCTTGAATTGCAGCAAAGACAAAGATCACCAAACTGATACAACCTTCCTCCCACTTGAGAGAAGAGACAAAAAAAGAACTCATCAAAATCTCTCACCAGGGCATTCTATTTGCCTCTGATTTTCAGAAAGGAAACACACAGAACTTACAACATCAGCAACTCACATCACACCCCTACCAATAGCCCTTATCCTTTCTTCCATCTTCATACATCTCTCAACTTTCAAACATCAACAAAAAGAAATCGAACCTTCATCTTTACACCACTTCAACCTCTGCATTTTGCTCTTCTCACCACAAACTTTGAAACCAAGCTTTGAAACCTTCAAAGTAAGCTTCAGCCTCAGAGACTCTGTTAATTCCTCATCCTTTTGCGTCGCGAAAAATAAGTGTTCAACCTGAAACGGCGAAACAAAGCGAGAAGTTCCAAAGAAGAAAGGAACACGAGCTGAAGGAGTAAGGGAAGATTCACGCTTACCAGAAACGGAAACCGCAGCCGGAGTCGGAGTTCGACGGACTAGCTCCGATTATGTGAGTACTCCATTTTTTTCTCCAACTTCTTGATACTACTTTGTTCCTTGTGATATGCTGATGCAAAGCCCTCTATCCATTGCTTCAAACTCTGTTCATTTGAAATTTAATTCGATTTTTGGTAGTTTAGGGTTTATAACTCTTTTATAGTTTAATCCGTTTTGGGCTGGAGATTTGAGGTTTGTGAAACTGGACGCGTAACGAAGGAGAAGAAACGTTTAGAGCGGTACTCATTTTTCAATCCTGACTGCGCTCGCCGGAGACTATAGCGGAGGCTGGTGGTTTGTTTTTACGGCACTGAAGTGAATATGAGAGAGAGAGACGATGGGTAGAGCGTCGTTACTGTGTTGGTTTTGTTTTGGATTTTCAATTTAATCTTTAGCTTGTTTTCTCTTTTTTTTATCATTTTCTTTGTTTTAATTTTTTTTTATAATATAAACAAAAAGAAAAAGAAAACCATTCATATTTAGTTTATTTTTTCTTTAGTTAAATTTTTATATAACTTGTATAATATTAGAAAAAACTAAATTTATATTTAATTTTTTTGTTAATTATTCAGTTTCAATATGTGTACAGATATAAAAAGAAAAAAAACAATTTTCATCATTTATTTTATTAATATTATTTATTTAGTTAGTTATTTGAATAATATCAAAAAATGTAAAAAAGGTATGTCATGATTTATTAATCATTTTAAATATTTTTATTTAATATTGATTAATTAAATTATTAATTAATCTTATTAAATATTTATATTTAAATTAATTAATAATTACCTCGTCACCTGATTTTATGTCATAACTTGTCCGTTTTCATGTTTTTGGGCCTGTCCTCTCTGGTCACGATGTTTTTTCCGTGAATGTTTACCTTAACCCCATAGGACTTGGAGTCGCCGTGCTCCAGATAGTTGTCCCGCCGTGGACATTTCCCTTATTTACCCTTGCCATAAGATTTGAGTCGTCGTGCTCACATTTAGCGTCCCCCCGTGGACATCCTTTACCCTTTTATCCTAACCTTGGGATCTGAGTCGCCGTACTCATGTTTAGCGTCCCGCCGTGGATGTTCTCTACCATAACAATCTCAACGTAGATTTAGGAGTCGCTGCACTCCATGTAAATACTTCCCTATGAATGCTTAGATCTCATTGGAACCTTGACCACAATCAAGAGTTCCTCACCCCTAGTTAAGGAAACTACGGTTGCTCTGATTCCATTCCCGTCAGGATACGTAGGCACGAGATGCGATATCTTGGCGAGCATACTTTGTATATACTTTAAATCTTTACCCTTAGCACTTTCCCTTTAGCAAGCAACTTTAGAATAACACAAATACTAACAAGAGGTTCCTGTAGAGTACTATAGATACTTAGGATGCTAACACCTTCCCTAGGTATAACCAACCCCCGAACCTTTAGATCCCTTTGCTTAGCTTTAAGCCTTGCTTTTTGCTTTGCATTTTTATAGGTTTTTCTTTCTTTAAACCTTTCCTTTTTGGATAAATTAAAGTCCGACTGAATTTAAGAATTAAATATTCAAGTTAAATCAATAGCTTGATATCTGATTCTCACTGCAACAGGTTCAAACTGATTTTATTTCATGAACGGTAGCTTGCTAATGGCAAAGCTCCATGGAATATTTACAATTTGAAAATGGCAAAAAGGAAAAGGCTACATTAAATCCAATGACTATCCTGCCTTAATGACCGAGAGTTCTTCAGATCTTAGCCTCTGACAAGAGTAGTGGAAGTGTATTTCCCTAGTAATCTTCGCAGTGGTAACAACCTTTGATACATAAAAATGCTTTTTGTCTCTAACTTTTTCCTGAACCGCCTGTTGTACCACAAAATTTGACCAACCTCTTTTCTTAATCTTTGACTTATGTTTCATTGCATTTTTGCATTTGCATAGTATAGTTCTTATAGGGTATCAAGTGTTTGTATGTGTCCTATCCAAGAGGAGAGCCTTATTAACCACAAGCTCAAGTAGAGGCATTGGTAGAGGTTGTTATGTGGTTGTCATCATCATGAAGATATTTGAGCTCCTAGAGAGGAGGGGTGTGCCACAACATTACCAAAGAACCATCAAAAGGTTGTCAAGGGGTCCATGAAGATTTATCATTGGTGTAATCATGAGGTAGAAGCTTGTTGAGTGTCTCAAAGGTCATTATGAAGTTGGAATAGTCACTCAGTTCATCTGAATAATGCCTAGGCAAAAAGGATGAAATTAGGGTTTCATTTTTAATCAGGCTAAATTTTTTTTTAGAGCAAGACTTGTTTCCGTGGTCTTCCATATGTCATAAGGTGTTTGGGGTTGAGAGATTGACCATTAATTTTAATTAGAAGGGCTTCAATTGATCAATCAATTGAAAATCAGGAGATTTGGGGAAAAAGTCAATTGTGCAGTGAAAAAGTCAACTCCTGACTTTTTGAGGTCAAGATCATGATCCTCAAGTTCAATATGACCAATGGATGGAATTTGATCATGAAAAATCAAGAATTGTTGAAAGTTTCCATTTTTAGAAAATTAGGGTTTTAGAACTTTCTATTTATGGAAAGTTTTATGGTTGAAGTAGCCATCTTCAAGGCCATATTTCTTTATGATCAAGGTTTCAAATGGACTTGACTCAAACATCAAAGTCATTACTTGTATTTCAAGCTTTCTTTTGAGTACCAATTCATAATCATATGATACTTGGAACTCAAGTTATGATTATTCAAAGTTGAGGATTTCAATGATTTCAACATTGCCAGGACTGGACAGATTTTTGGACCCACTTTGCAAGCCAATATTTAGCACTTTCTTGATGTTAAATGAAACTTTGAACCAAATGAAAGTTATAGATCATGTTCCAAGCTTTCCAAAAAGTCCAAGAAATCCTCAATATGATTTGTGAAGCTCAAGTTATGGATGTTCAAAGCTGAGAAAAAATAAGCCAAAATTCATAACTTAGAATTTTTTCTAAGTTATTTATGGACAGCTTGCATGGCCTGATTTTCACCATCATTTTTCATGGTCTTCCAATCCTCAAATCAAGATGATTTCAACATGAAATTTTTTATACTCCATGCCTTCTTTCATTTGAGCACAAGACCTAAGCAAATGGAGTTGTGTGCACAAAGTTATCATTGCTCAAAGTTGGTGTGTGGAACACTTTTTTCAAAAGATGAAATATATGATTTTCTGATTCACTCATTTATGCAGCACACTCATGTTTCTCTTTTCATGCGCATGATGATGATTTGGGAGCATGTCAAACATTGCCAAAAATGAACCAACACCCAATGTACCATTTTTGCTCATTTTTGAAATTCTTACCAAAAATAAGGAATGGACAAAAACTGCCATATGTTGCCTCTATTCTCTCCTTCCACTCAAATAGAAAACAACAGGAGGCAAGAGGATGCATGTCTGCTCATGTACCATTGCACAATCCACCATTGAATCAAAATATCAATTAATCTCATATCTGCACCATTGATCTTTTACCATGGTAAAACCCCCAAAACCCTTTTCTCACCTCATATTTAAGCTGAGGAGCAGCTGAGCAAACCCTAGTGTCATACCCCAAATTTTACCCCTTAGATATTCATCATCATTTTAGGATCATACTCATGATTATCTGACCTTAACCCGTTTCAAGCTTGTCTTTGTTAAGATATAGGAATCAGGGTTCCGCACAACCGAAATCGAGGTTTCGAAGGTTAATCAGTCAATGTTTTGGACTGTTTCTCCTTGAATTGAGTCTCCACATCATAAAACATATTCCATTGGATCAAGCATGAATCCAATTTGAGGTTTTCACCCAGGAATCAAAAAACAGCTAAGTTCAGGATACCCGATTAGGGTTTTCGAGTTGGAAAAGTCAACTGTGGTTTGACTTTTGATCTAAAAGGTGTTGCAATGGTAGGATCACGGTCCATAGTGTTCATATGTCTTGGTAAAGTCCATTCAAGAAGTTTCAAAGCCTCAAAAGGTCCAGAGCATCAACAGTCGACTCGGTAGCCACCGATCGATCGTTCGGTTGACCGAAAAGTCAAATCTTCACTCATAAGGAATCTGACCTTAAGATGTGAATAAAAAATGTTCCTAAGGACATATTGCATCTACTCATAAAATTTCATGACCATTGGATCAAGGGTTGAGGAGTAATCGCAAAAATCGGGAATTAGGGTTTTGAAAGGGGCAAAACCATAACTCCTTAACCACACATCCAATTTATTTGGTTCAAAGCTCATTGGAAAGCTCTTAACAAGTCCTACAAAACTTAAAGAAATTTTAAGAAGGGAAAATAACTTAAAGAAATTTCACTTTTAGGCTTGTTTTTTAGCAACTTTGAGAGGCTTTTTGGCCAAGTTACATTGGGAATCTGAAACTCATGAAAACATGAAAGTTGTAGAGCTACATGAGGTATTTCCAAATTATGGAAGAACTCCTCCATAGCCCTTATGAGCCGAGTGTTATGAATTTGGCAATATGAGCTTTTAACACTTGAGTCCCACATTGACTATTCTTCACAAATTCAAATTTCAACAACTTGGGCCATCCTCAACCATTGGATCATGTTTTATTCTGACAATTTGAGGCCTAGATGAAGATAAAACCATAAGAAAGAAGGAATTGATGGACTTTACAATTTGGAGGCAAGTTGACAATATAATATTCATAAAATTGGAAATAGAAACTTTTTGCCACTTGCACTTGCAGCTGCAGTTCCCTATCTGCCTAGCCACTCTAATCATCTCATGTCATTGA